CACACACACACACATACACACGCACACGCGTTCATTTCCCTTCTAGCACCATAAAAAAGGGGGGAAGCCAAAATCCATCGCCGCCACCCCCCCATAAAATATGCATAGAAGCACATCCGGCAGAAGGGCCCGCTCCGCATCATCCTCACCCTCATCTTCCAGGAGAACCAGCAACTCCCGAACTGGAGGGGGGAAGGGGCTGCCGAGCCCCCCCCTTTGGTCTCCCCCTTTCCCGGCGCGTGGCCTGGGCCTTTGGCCGCCGGCCCTCCCCGCACCTCGCCGCGGAAGGCCAGGCGGAACCCCCATTTTCCGAGATGCGCGCTTGGGGGGGGGGAACAGCCAAAGGGAAAAGAAGGCGCCAGAGCAATGGGGCACGGGGGGCAGGGGGAGAGAGCCGAGAGGGTCAGGGCCTTTCACCCCTTTTCTTACTCCCCCCCCATAAAGGTGGCGCTTTCCTGGTCTGCTGGGGTACGTCTCCCATCATCCCCAGTAGCAAGGCCCTGGGGTGATGGGGCTTGCATTCCAAACTCTCGAGGAAGCGCCAGCTATGGGGGAGGTGATGGAGAGCCTGCTCTGAGCCCAGTGGTCGCAGCCTCGGAGCGTTTCGTATTCTGGGTTTTTTTTGGGGGGGTGCAAACAACTCGCCAACTCCCCTCGGAGTCCCGACAGGGAACCACCCCCCCACCCCACTTTTTTTGGGGGGGAAACTAGAAGCGATAGTTCGAGACAAGGCTGGGGGGGGCGACGTCCGGCGGACCCGTGGGAAGGCAGGCAGGCAGGCAGCGACAGGTGGGGCTGGGCAGGGCTGGGAGGGGTCCGAGAGGGATGGAGAGGGATGGGGCTCGAAGGCGGGGGCGGCGAGGAGAGCGGGACCCCCCCCTCCCGGCGGCGGCGCTGCGGCGGCGCTGCTGCGGCTGCTCTTACCGATGGTGGTGATGACGGTGATGGCGAAGTAGAAGGAGCCGGCGAACTTCCACTGGACGCCGGCCTTGTGGGGCTTGAGCCGGAGCACCACCCCTTCCAGCTCGCAGTAGTTGGCCTCGGAGAGGTTGTACTTGCTCTTGAGCTCCCGCTGCCGCCGCTCCAGCCGGGTCCGCTCGGCCGTCTCGGCCTCGGACTCGAGCGCGTCGAAGACGGCGGCGCCCACCAGCAGGTAGGTGAAGGTGCACAGGATCAGCGCCAGCGTCCGCACGTTCTGCCGCT